TTAGTGCCTTGTAGACGGCAGCAAGAACGCGCTCAGTTACATCAGCAGATTTGTTGATGTCATGGGGTCCATCAATGAGGATTTCAGGCTCAACAATAGGTACCAGACCATTCTCCTGGCAGATGATGGCATAACGGGCTAGACCATTAGCATTTTCATTGATAGCTAGCTGTGATGGTTCATTGGGACCAATCTTGAGCACAGCTCTCCATTTAGCAAACCGGGCACCTGCAGCATAATATTGCTGGCAGCGCTGGGCAAGGCCATCTAGACCTTGAGTGGTGGTCTCACCATTAGTACCAGCAAGCTCAACGGTACCCTTGTCAACCTTAATTCCGGGGAGAACACCACCCTCTTTCAAGACATCGACAAAGGGTTTACCTGCAAGTTACAAACAACGATATTTGAGTAGTATTGGCCCATTGGGATTTGTTTTCAATTATGCCATATCATGTACTTTTGGCACTTGGACATAAGAGCCCAGCATATAATAGTATATTATTAAATAATCAACACTAAAATGAAAATATCCTAACTGTATACCTGTAGCAGTCTTCTGATAGAGAGTTTCCTCAAAGAGGATAACTCCACTGAGGTATTGAAGGGCACCTGGAGTTGTAAATAGAAGTTCACGAAGAGCCCTCCTGTTTGTCTCGACATTCTCAACATTGACGCTGGCTAGACGCTTGCCAATTGTGCCGGTAGACTCATCAGCAGCAAGAATACCCTTCCCGGGGGTACCAATGTATGCAGCATTGGCAATAAGTTCATCTACAGAAAGGGAATGAATTGAAGTGTAGCAGAAAACGTTATATGCCATGCATAAAGAACCAAAAATAAAATGTGACCATGAATAATACAAAATGATTGCACAAAAAAATGGCCAGGCACTAATATATGTATTCTCACTCTTTTTTCAGATAAATATCCCCCGACATGATGTGGTACAACTGTCACAATATTTTACATATATATAAAATTCCTCCTCAATCTCAATATATCAGCAAAGCATATATCAGATATGTAATCACCATGATGATCCACTAACCAAAAACATATTCCTAGAACATCAAAACCAAAGAGGATGAGAACTATTAAAAGATCTTTTGGACGAACAAACGAGAGAGAGAGAGAGAGAGAGAGTAGAATTTAATTCTTTTAGATAAATTATTTAAAAATATTTCCAGTTTACTCCATAGAGAATCAGATCTTTTGGACGAACAAACGAGAGAGAGAGAGAGAGAGAGAGAGAGAGAGAGAGAGAGTAGAATTTAATTCTTTTAGATAAATTATTTAAAAATATTTCCAGTTTACTCCATAGAGAATAATTTCAAAACGATCGATCTTTGGAATTTAAGTGGGGGATCAGAATTTGATCGTAACTCTTCATTATTTCTAATGCAAAGCTAATAAAATTAATTGCTACCATCCAAAAGAATTGGTTCAAACAACAAGCTCAGTATTTAATTTCCTATCACTATCCATTCCCTATCTAATTCAAAGACGTGAATTTTATTTAATTTTTTATTCTGGATAAGTTGCTTGCTCTCTAGAAATTTCCAAGCACTAAGCCTACTTGAAGATGACTCTGTAATCCGGTGAAAGGAATCATCGAAAGATTCGAAGCTTAAGCATTTTTGTTCACTTAGCTTATTTTTCAATAATCAGTTATTAAAATATAATCTAATATTTGCATAGAAATCCGAATTGAATATCATCATCCAAAGCGCACAAACACAGAGATATCCAAACAATGAAAATATAGACTGAGCCACTTAGAACTAAATTCAGTAATAGAAAATTCTTGTCATGTATATACAACAAGCTTCAGAACTAGTTCTTCTATATTCATTTAAATATTCTCAAACAGGTTAGAACACCATCTAATCCTTAATCAGAGCAAACATCACAAGGAAAAAAATCTCTACAACAATATAACTATACCCCCACAAAGTTTCCAGATCTAAATATCAAACAAAGGGGAGAAAAGGACCAAGATGCAAGAAAAAAATTCACTTTAAACAGCTAGATGACATTTCTAAGACAAATAAAATACTTAATAGGCCAAGAAAACAAAATTTAAGCGAGAAATAGTTTACCAGCGTATTTTCCCTTGAAGCAAGACATGATTATTATGTGTTTGAAGGGAAGAATAGGCAGAAAATCAGTGTTTTTCAAGAAACTGGAACTATGGGAACGACGATGACACTGGTTTGGGGTCTATACAGAGGATATGGCGGTTGGGGAATATATGTCATCGCATTATCTCGACCCTTCCTTCGAATAACCCGTGCATTGTGCCAACTTTGGTGATTATTACATTTTTGGCCCTCTAACTTTAGGCAAATTCTATTGCCCACGACAGTATTTGTTTGATTCATTTTAATTACATCAAAGATTCATAATTTATTTTTTTT